CCACCCCTTCCCTGGTCAAGGAGGTCCCACCACCCCTTCCCTGGTCAAGGAGGTCCCAGCACCCCTTCCCCAGCCAAGGAGGGGTCCAGTTGAAGACCGCGCCTCTAACTCCGCCTCGACTCCACCTGTCACGAACATTATAACTGGATGCTGCAATATCACGAATATTCGTGAAAAGCGACGTCGTCCCTTAGCAAAAATCGTACAAACATCCAGCTGTTCAACTGCCGCTGCTCGAAGACTCAAGCTCTGTCTCTGAGCAGTTCCGCCGCGCCTGTTTGGGGCATAAAACGGGCGTCACCTGGGTGGAGTAGTCGTCGTGGCCGAAGTCGTCGCTGGACACGATGCGGTAGGCGTCCTGCAGCCACGCCACCAGGTCGTCCGTCTCGGCGCTGAACTGGAAGAAGTTCAGGGCGTCCTCCAGGCGCTGCTGGTGGAGCCCCGTGACCTCCTCCAGCTTCTTCCAGCGCAGGCAAACCTCCCGCATCTTCTCCTGGATGCCCGCGGGGCCGAAGGACTTCTTGGCCAGGATCTTCTCGCCTTTCTTCATGGTCTGGTGGAGGAGGGCGCGCCGGTTGCCCAGCTCGCCCAGCATGGTCTTGTGCTTGGTGGTCAAGGTGAGGACGCTGCTGAGGTCGCGGCCGCAGGTCTTGGCGGCCAAGATCTTCTCCTTCTCGCGGATCCAGGCCTCGGCCTCCTCCATCTCCTGGAAGAAGGTCCAGAGCTGGCGGGAATCCTCCAGCTCCTTCCGCCTCTTGGCCGCCAGCTCCTCCAGCTCCTCCAGGCACGTCTGGACGTGGTTGACCCGGTTGCAGATGATCTGGGGGTCGCAGGGTTGGTAACCTGGGCCGAGACAAGAGGTTTAGATGTTGGAAGGGGTGACCAGGGAGGTGGTGGAGTCACCAACCTTGGAGGAGACCCCTTGGGTTGACCCTTCTTCTGTGGTCCACCACGACCTTGGGGGGACCTTTCTGTGGTCTACCAAGATCTCGGGTTGACTCTTCCATGGTCCACCAAGACCTTGGGGCGACCTTTCAACTAAGACTTTGGGTTGACCCTTCCATGGTCTATCAAGATCTCAGATTGATCCTCCCATGGTCCACTAGACCGTGGGTTGACCTTTATGTGGTTCACCAAGACCTCAGATTGACCCTTCCATGGTCCACTAGACCCTCGGTTGACCTTTCTGTGGCTCACCAAGACCATGGGTTGACCCTTCTTCCCTGGTCCACCATGACCTTGGGTCAACCTTTCCGTGGTCTATCAAGACCTTGCGTTGACCATCCCATGGTCTATCAAGACCTTGAGTTGACCATCCCATGGTCCATCAAGACCTCGGGTTGATCTTTCTTTCATGGTCTACCAAGACTTTGGGTTGACCATTCCATGGTCAACCAAGACCTTGGGTTGACTTTTCTGTGGTCCACCAAGATCTTGGCTTGACCCTTCCATGGTCAACCAAGTTCTTGGGTTGACCTTTCAACCAAGACTTCGGGTTGACCCTTCCAAGGTCCACCAAGATCTTGGCTTGACCCTTCCATGGTCAAGGCTTGAACCTTCTTCTACGGTCCACCAAGATCTCCTGTTGCCCATTCCATGGCCTACCAAGACCTTGGCTTGACCCTTCCCAAGGAGCCCCTGCCGGTGCCCACCCCGGTGCCCACCCCGGTGCCCCCCGTTACCCTCCAGCTCCGAGAACTTGAGGGCGGCGGCGTTGAGGGCCTGGACGCGCTCGGTCTGGGCGGAGATGTCGGCCTCCAGCAGCCCGTGCTTCTGCAGGAGGTCCTCCACCTCCAGCAGGTGCTTCCCCAGGTCCTTGGAGACCAGGAGAACCTGGAAGAGAACAAGAGAAACCCTTCTATGGTCCACCAAGACCTTGGGTTGACCCTTCTTCCATCATCCACTGAGACCTCAGCTTGGCCATTCCATGGTCTACCAAGACCTTGGGTTGACCTTTCTGTGGTCTACAAGACCTTGGTTGACCCCTCTTCCATCATCCACCAAGACCTCAGCTTGGCCATTCCATGGTCTACCAAGACCTTGGGTTGACCTTTCTTCCATCATCTACCAAGACCTTGACTTGACCCTTCTTCCATGGTCCACCAAGACCTTGGGTTGACCAAGACTTTGGGTTGACCCTTCCATGGCCTACCAAGACCTTGGGTTGATCTTCTTCCATCATCCACCAAGACCTCAGGTTGACCATTCAAGACCTTGGGTTGACTCTTTTTCCATGGTCCACCAAGACCTCAGCTTGGCCATTCCATGGTCTACCAAGACCTTGGGTTGACCCTTCTTCCATGGTCCACCAAGACCTCGGTTGACTCTTCTTCCATGGCCCCCCAAGCCCTCAACTCGGCCATTCCATCGGGTCCCGGAGCCGCCCCCCCGCGTCCTCCCCGGCTGCCCTACCTGCATCTCCTCCATCCAGTCGATCATGTAGACCATCTCCTGGAAGATCTTCTGCAGGGCCAAGTTCTGCTCGAGGCGGGCGCGGCGGGCGCGGACCAGCTCGGTCAGGAGGCCCCACTGCCTCAGGATGTTGTCCTTCTGGGCGCTGATCCTCTTGGTGTCGTAGTAGCCCTCGGACTCCATCTCCAGGGCCAGCTCCACCACCACCTGGATGCGCTCCTGGTACGAGGAGATGTCGGCCTCGATGGCCTCGTGCTTCTTCATGGCCGCCTCCACCGCCGGCAGGTCGTAGCCGAAGTTGTCCTGCGGTGGGGGGAGGTGACAGTGGGTGGGTTGGAGACCTCGCCGGTCAAGGAGGAGCAGGATGAGGTCCCAACACCCCTTCCCTGGTCAAGGAGGTCCCAACACCCCTTCCCCAGTCAAGGAGGAGCGGGATGAGGTCCCAACATCCCTTCCCTGGTCAAGGAGGTCCCACCAGACCTTCATGGTCAAGGAGGTCCCACCACCCCTTCCATGCTCAAGGAGGAGCAGGATGAGGTCCCATCGTCCCTTTCCTGGTCAAGGAGGTCCCACTAGACCTTCATGGTCAAGGAGGTCCCACCACCCCTTCCATGCTCAAGGAGGAGCAGGATGAGGTCCCATCGTCCCTTTCCTGGTCAAGGAGGTCCCACTAGACCTTCATGGTCAAGGAGGTCCCACCACCCCTCCCCAAT